AATTCATTTATATCACTTATCTTACAATTGAATTCATGTCATGTTATTCACCAATTTCAGAGCACAAAAAAACAAGCAAAGTGAAAAAATAAGAGAACGAAAACCAAGGGAGATAAAAAATGAGAGAAGAAAAAACAAGCAAGAGAAAAAAAATTGATGATATCAATTTGAGTGTGGTGTAAAGGTTATCTTGAATAGCCGCTTGAAGTGCCAGTCCACAATTGGAGCTGACCTGCGATGGGGAGTGATAAACATGTTGAGGGGTACCAGGGACTGAAACAATGACTGAAGTCGGAACTCACGAGAAGGAACTTTTCAATGAGAATTTAATGTATTGATTCAGTGAGAAAAGGATCTTGAGAGACAGTCCAGTAACTCAGTAGTAGTGGGAGGCTTGATATAAGCATAACTAGGTACAAGCTGTCAGCCTCTGGGTAACTAACCTGAGTGTTTTAGTAGTAAAAAGTTGTTACTATGAGTTGACTGAAGTTTTGAGTGTGGTGAGTGTTAGGTAGTGGGTGATTAATACCAATCCTGTAATGAGGAGGTTTCACTCTATCAGTATGGTCTTTACTGAGAGGCTTGCTATCAACAGCGCATCCGGATCAATACAAGGTATTAATAGGCATCCAGGGTACTAAGACTCACCTGCGATTGATTTGGTTATTCCCAAAAGGGAATGGGCTAACAATACTTATTAAGCTTTAACAAAATTAGTTGAAGATTAAAAGGTATTGTTGATGGGAATATTCAGCAAGGCTATGAATATTGTGGATAAGTTGAGTAAATGTACTGAAGCTCAAGAACAATAAATTTAGACTAGATTTATGTTGGTTACATGTACTGTATCAATATAAATGTTAACTGGTTTAACTGGTGTCTGAATATTCTGGGGATTAATCAGTGAAAGAGGCATGGATTATAAGTTCTAGAATATTGAAGGAGGGAAAGAATGAGTGCTCAGAATCAAGGGAGCTTTGGCCAGGAGAATGAGCACATCAATTGAGTGACTGATCATTATTTGTCATGATATGTAAGTGACATCATAATTGTGTACTAGTTGATCAATGTGCTAGTTGCTCTTGATGCGTGTACTTAACAGATCCTCTTATAATGTAGTCATAATTGTGATCAGTGCATGTATTGTATATATCAATTCTATTAACACTTAGTACTTATTATTCAATACATGTACACATTTATTTGTAATGATATTTGATTGTGAAACTACTGTAGAGTAGGGATAACTTGTGGTACATGTATTTCACGGATAAAAGAGTGAAAGTTAAGTGATAATTACTTATGTATGAAACAGGTATGTATTTAATAGATAAGTAATTGATCTGATAAGATAATGTAAAATAAGATAAGTTAATGATAATGATAAGATAACAAGACATTATGGATAAGTACTTATGTACATAAGTACAGGTGTTACAGTTACTTGGTACATGAAAGGTACTGTGACATGTACTCTGTGGCTGACACAAGCATACAACATGTACTACATACAGGATTGGCTAATCCAACAAAACACTTCCCCCCCCCCCTTTGCGCACACACTCCAACACTCCCTTCTCCGAGGGGAGTGTAGGACCACACACCAATTTTGATTGGCGTGCAGGGCTGCATGCCAGCCAGCAACCTTAACCCATATGAATATAGGTTTAGGTTGAGCCTTATCCCATAGGACTAACATGAAAAAAAGAAAATGTCTGTGAGGAACCCCTACCAGTCTAAAGCTTACAAATAGCTCACGGCCAAGAGGAATCCCTCTTGGCCTTGAGACCTTGTACAGTTGGTGGAATCTGAACTTGCATCTAAAATACCCTTCTGACTCTGATCATCTGATCCCAGGTTCTGGAATTGTCTCACCCAATTTTCTTAAATTTCAGGAATTGCACTTGAAATATCTTCAAATAGTTTATTGACAAGATAAGTAGAGAAATTTGCTAAATGGGACAATATTTGCAAGTGTGGTTAAGATTAGGAATTAGAAAAAAAAACATCCACTTGAAATTGTGCAAGAAGAAAGTGGAAGGAGAAGAACAAGATGTAGCCTACAAGTACACTTGAGCCACACATTTACTTGACAAGTGATAGATTTAAACTGGTTTGACCAGCAGCTTCAAATTTGCCACGACACTGGAGCCAAGTTTGCAAGCAAACCTAGGCATTGTATGGTCTGTTGCTTCATTCCATGGAAAATGTTTGTAATCATTGAATTTGATCACTGTTTTCCTATGAAAGGATTTTGAGCCGTAGAATATCTGTGAGCTTCTGCTGATCAGGAACGGGAAAACCACCTGTCTTTGGCAAACATCTCAGTGTACTTCTCATGATTTGTATTCTTGTAGTAATAGCCAAGTACAGTCACTGCAAGCTCCCCTAATATCAAATCCTCTTTTTGTAGGGTGGATGAATTTGAATGGGATGAGGTGGGTTTCACCCTGAATATTTCTTCATTTTGGTCCAAAGTCAATATGTTCACCATCAAATTCAATACTTTCCCCCGCATAATTGTGGACAATTCTGCCTCCTTCATATCAACAATATCTTCTGATTCTCCTGGCTTGAAGTTGGAAAAACAGGATAAGAAAAAAAGTTGGATGGATTTTTGCTCATTTGTGTACTCCTCCCCAAGTTGTTTACATCCAAAGAAAATAAGAAATTGGTCATTCAATCCCCAAAGAATATCAAATATTGTATCCAAGGTTTCAAATATCTTATTCTCAGACTTTTCCCAAAGTATCACTCTCTTTTCTTTGGGCAAGTATTTTCCAGAAATATCTCTTATGTAAGCCTTGACTTTGTCAATTAATTTTCCAGATATGGGTTGAAATGATTTGTTATAACTGAATCTTTTGTTTAATCTGACTCTTGATATCCATGCCCATGCTTCCTTAGAGCGATTTTCTGGCTCAAACTTGTTGCTAATTTTCAGCTGCCCGATTTCTCTTATACTTCCTTCATCAAAGTTTGGCTTCAAGCTATAAGTCTGAAATAAAACTGGTTGACCATGATTGGAATAGTTTGGACTTGATTGGAGAAGTCTTGAATGCTTTCCATGGGATCAGAGATTGTATCCTCCTTTTTGAATGTTCACTCGTTGGTTCTTGGAGGGACAACACTTCCTTGGATAGGTTTCCAAGTCTGGCCAATCGAAGCACCAATCCTTCATCACTTCCAAAAATCCTGCCCCATCTTTTTTTCACGCATCATTGTTTTGTAATAATAATCAAGAATATGGAACACGCTTTCATTCATCAAGACATCTGATTTGGATACAAGGACCGGCTTTTTCTTTTCCAATCCGTCTTGGTAGACTTGATAGGCCATTGTATCCGGTTTTGGAATCCACCCAGTTTGCAATCTTTTGGAAAATGTTTCCTTCATCACTTCCCACCAAATTTCCATAAACTGTTGTCCCTTTAATCAGTTCAAGCAAAGGTCTATGTTTTTTTAACCTTGAGATCAATTTCAGAAACCATCCTTGAAGTGATCTTTGTTGCTCACAATAATGATCTCTTGATTCCAAATGTCCCAGGTTGCTCAAGATATCAAAATTGGTGGTCCACAAACACCTGAAGAGCTCTTTCAATCTGATCCTCACAAGACGATAACCCGCAGATTCTTTTTCTGGTTTTTTTTTGCTTCTGATGAGTTTGAAGGGGTAGTATGCCATCAGCATCCTTTCTATCTTCATCTTGCCATCAGTTTCAAATTCATCACCCATTGACTCTTCTACATAAATCTCTCAAAAATGATTGAAATCCATGCCCAATGTTGAGCATTTACCTCAAGTTCAGCTCTACTTTTGGAAAAATCTCTCATGTCTTGTGGGGTTTCCCGGAGAGGAATAACATCACTTTGGTCATCACTCAAACCATGTTGTGCAAGTTCTTCAATTTCCACATCATTGTTTGAGGGGGGGTCTTCTTCTTTCTTGCATGTCTTAAGAGCCATGGACTGATGACTACTGGTGTTGACACTCCCTTCACTAATTCCCATTTGGTGTGTGAATTGGATCCGGTGAGTCTGTTTCTTATGAACGAGATAGGACTGTCTTCTTCCCTCCACTCTTTCAAGAAACACTTGTGATCGATAGGACTTGTGCCAAACAACTTATTTGAGCCTTGTAAGGGAGCAAAAATCCTGGTCAGTGGGTTGGCTTGTGTCCAAGGCTCTCATCTCAATTTACACCTTGGTATTCTTACCAATATGATGGACTCCAGCGGAGCTTTAATGCCGGGATGAACCCGGCCCATTGCTCGCCATGTCTTGCCCCAGATGAAGCAGATCCGGCAATGATAAACTTAGATCCAGCTTGGGGCGCTTTGAACGAGGCCCTTATCTCCGCTCTTGCGCGAAGATTGTCCCAGGGATGAGGGCTGCTTTCTGCTCAGACTATGTACCTTCTTCATGGCCGCCAGCATCTACAAAGAGACAGAAATTGGCAGCTCGGGCCATATGAAAAACCTGATGTTTGCTGAGCAGGGGACGAGAGAAAGTAGCCTTAATAATGCTTTCGCAGGCTTTGCCGATCCAGTCATCGAGAACGAAAGCGGATTTTGTCCTTATATGCGCACTCGTAGTTAGCAAGCTTCAAAAGCATAGCAAGAGGGAGAGGTATCGACGAAGTTAACCATGCTCATATTGTTCCAGACTCGACGCCACTTCTGGAAGGTGATGGAGGCCCGCTCTCACATACACTCATGAGAGGATCGCTGATCGGAGACCAAGTGAGACGAACAGCACAGCTTTCCATGAACATCCCATCTTGAAAGCGCTTGGGGCGGAGGAGCAGCCAAAGCGCACACAAAGCTGATGTTTTTTTTTTTTTATCTCAGAAACTTGTTCGCTGTTTCCTGCGGACGCACATCCATCCACTCAAGCAAGTTCCCCGTCTGTTTCAAAGCTGAAACCTACACTATTAGCCGTCGCCGTTTAAGCGACTGCTTTCCAGACAGGTGCACTATGCTCTCTCACCAGTAGTCTAATAAACAGTTTGAATGGGGATTATAGTGTTTTTGGGGGGTATACGATGTGTCTAATGGAGGAGAGGTCTACATCTAGAGAAAAGTGAGTTGACAAGGATCGAGAAAGAGAAAGATCGAAGTATGAAAGCACCCAAAGTGAATTAAACGTCAACCCAGATCCAACCCACCCCGAGAAAGAAACAAGAAGAAGAAATGGAAAAAGCGGAGATTTCTATGTGTGGGGATGAGGGGGGGAATGAACCGGCGAATGGGTGGGAGAGGAGACCAAGAAGAAGGATCACAAGCCGTCGTTCAAGGTGCGTTCGAGAAGCACGTCCTCGATCGCCAGGATCTCGTCGTTGACGTCGAACCGATCGAACGTCTGGCCACTGATCCCCTGAACATTACCGCCACTTCCTTCTTCGTTTTTGCCATTATTGCTGTTGCTGTTCGAGGCCGGTTCTGAGACGTTGTTGGTCGTGGATGGGACGGGATGGTCGGACTCTTTGAAGGATATCCCAAACTCTTGCCCCTTCGCTATCTGGCTCGTCTCTTTCTTTCCTTGCTTTAAATCTTTGATTTGGCCTGTTGGTTTTATTCCAAATCATTAACAATGATAATTATCAAATCAGCTTCTTCACATGTACCAGAAAAAAAAGGGTTTTTTTTGGAGATTACCTTTCCAAATGATTTCCTTATTGCGAAGGATTTTAATCGAGCAAGATTTCTTGATTTCCCCATTTGAGACTTTACAACCCGCGACCTTAGATTTGATTTTAGAAGACGAGGAGGAGGACGAATTGATTTCGAAGATCTGGAGGATTTTAGCCTCGCCGATGACGCGTTCCTTGTAACGTTTGGGAAGCAGTTTGACGAGATCTTGAGTGACCGAATCGACCAGTCGATAAATCACGGATTCGATCGTGTATTTGACTTTGTGCGATTCGATCGGGCTGAACGCCATCGGGTCGATCTTGACGTTGAAGCCGACGAGTTGAGCGCCCGAAGCGATCGCCATCCTGGCGTCGCTTTCCGAGATATTGCCGACCCCGGAGCTGACGATCTTGACTTTGACCTGATGGTTACCAAGACTCTCGATGGCCGTCCGGACCGCCTCGACGGTCCCCGTGTAGTCCGCCTTCAGCACCAGCTTGAGACAGTCGGGAGAGTCTTCCTCGTTCCGCGAGTCAATCTTGGCCTGTGCCGAGGCCTGTTGGTTGCGTTCCCGCAGATGGGCCACTCGCTCTCGTCGGGTCATGCCCTCTAGTTCGGCTTTGCCCGTCTCGAAGGCTTCCCGTGCTTGTGCCCGTCGTTCGTTGACCAGCTCGATTTGCTCCGCCAGGCCCAGCTCCTCGAACCGTCGCACCCGGTTCTCGCATGCACGCTTGGCCTGTTCCTCCGACTCGACTCCAAGCACCAGACTCCCGGCCTCGGGCAAACTCTTCCATCCGGTCACCCGCACCGGTCGGCCGGGCGAGACCTCGGACACCGGCTCGCCGGAGACCGTGATCAGTTGACGGACCCGACCGTACGAGCGGCCGGCGATGATGTCCAGGCCGACCTCGAGTCGGCCTCTCAGGGTGATCACCGAGGCCATGTTCCCGTGGCCACGCTCGACATCCGACTCGATCACCCGCCCTTCGAACCGCACCCCCTCCTCTTCCGCACGAAGATCCCGGACCTCGGCGACCGCTAGAATCGTCTCCGCAATCTCGGCAAGACCTTTCCCGGATACCGCCGAGACCTCGACACAAGGCACTTCCCCTCCCAGACCCTCCACCTCGATCCCCGCATCATAGATCCCCGCACGGGTCCGATGTAGGTCGATCCCTGGCTTGTCGCACTTGGTGATCGCCACCACCACGCCGATATCAGTCTGCCGGACCAACTCGATGACCTCCTTCGTCTGCGGCTTCACCCCGTCATCCGCCGCGACGACCAAGACGGCGACATCAGTGGTCATTGCGCCTCGACTACGCATCGCACTGAAGGCGGCATGTCCGGGGGTATCCAAAAAAGTGATCGTCTGGGGACCTTCTCCAGCAGGATCAGCGTCAGCATTTGCGGATCCGGCGGCCATGAGATCTTTCAACGAGACCTCGAAGGCGCCGATGTGTTGGGTGATCCCTCCGGCCTCCGAGGCCGCCACCGCCGACTTGCGCAACGCATCCAGCAGCGTTGTCTTCCCGTGGTCCACATGGCCCATGATGCACACCACTGGCGGCCGCAGGACTAGTCTAGATCGGTCCACACTGGGTCCGTCCGGATAAATGTCATAGGCTAGCGTGTCGTTCACGATCGGCTCGTAGCCCGACTCTAGCACTAGATACGCCGTGTCATCCGTGCTCAGGATTCGGTCAGGTCGCGTATCTAAGAGTCCTGCCGATTGCATTAACGATTGCAGTCTATCTGTTGTTTGTCACAACATGGTATCAGCTTTTTTTTTTCTTTTTCGTGCAGGACATGGAAAAATAATGATAAGAATCTTACATAGTTTTTGGTGTGTTAGTTGGGCCAATTGAGCCACAGTGATAGCCGAAGGAATAGCTAGTTCACGTTTGGAAGTTAAATTATTTTTAGTAGTGTTAATGTTATGATTTTTAGAACTTTCGAGCAACAATTTTCGTTGTTTTTTTTCTTGCGCCAATTTGCTGATGATGATTTCGTTTGATTTCGGTTTTGGTTTGATATGCGAGGGCAACACGCCGATCCTCCTGAGTTTTTTTTCTTCATCCTTTCGTTTCTTGAGTAACTGATGATTATTAGTGTTTGGTTGATTGTTTGTGTTTACGTTAGAGTTTTCGAACTTGTTTGTTTTGGGGGGTTCTGGGAATCTGTTCGTAGATGGCCTTCGGAAAGACGGTTCGCCATGTTGATGTTGCTGCTGCTGGTAATACTGCTGTTGCTGCTGCTGCTGCTGTTGCTGCTGCTGCTGCTGGTAGTAAGGCTGCTGTTGTTGGTAATTTTGCTGTTGTTGATAATATTGCTGTTGTTGATAATTCTGCTGGTGTTGGTAATTTTGCTGGTAAGGCTGTTGCTGCTGGTAATACTGCTGTTGCTGCTGGTAGTACTGCTGTTGCTGCTGGTAATGAGGTGGTTGTTGATGGTGATTCTGCTGCTGCTGCTGTTGTTTTGGTTGTTGTTGTTTTGGTTGTTGTTGTTGTTGTTGCTGTTGGTTGATGTTTGTGGTTGTTTGAGATGAGAATGTGTTGATGGTGTTTCTTGTGATTCTGATCGATTGGATGGTTCTCTTCATCTTTTGAGGTTGACTTGCATCAACTTGGTTGTCGAAAAAACCATCCACCACCTCCATCAGAAGGCCCCCCGGGGTAGGGTTGTCGGCGCCACCCCCTGTGGCGCGCCAAAGTGCGCGCCACAGGTGCGCGCCCGGTGGGCGCGCCCAGTTTTTCAAAAAGGGGGGGTGGCGCGCACCTCTAACCCTAATTTTACAGGGATGGCCTGGAGAGTCCGTCAGCCTGGCAGGTCTCCCTGAGAAAGCCAGGATGAGAGACTCCTGTCCAAGTGTCTGGCCTGCCAGACCTGTCAGG